GGCATCTATGTTCATGAGGGATATTGGCCTGTAATTCTCTTTCATTGTGTTGTCTTTACCTGGTTTTGGTATTAGGGTGATGCTGGCTTCATAGAATGAGCTTGGAAGTGTTCCTTCCTCTTGAATTTTTTGTAGTAGTCTGAGGAGGATAGGTTTTAGTTCTTCCTTGAATGTTTGGTAAAACTCCCCTGTGAAGCCGTCTGGTCCTGGGCTTTTGTTTGCTGGAAGCTTTTGATGACTGCTTCAATTTCTTCCATAGTTATTGGCCTGTTGAGATTTTTAGATTCTTCCTGATTGAGTTTTGGAATGTTGTATTTTTCTAGGAATTTGTCCATTTCCTCCAGGTTGTCTAGTTTGTTGGAGTAGAGCTGTCCATAGTATTTTTTAACAATCATTTGTATTTCTGTGGGGTCTGTTGTTATTTCGCCTCTATCGTTTCTGATTTTGTTTATTTGGGTCCTCTCTCTTTGCTTCTTGGTGAGTCTGGCTAGAGGTTTGTCAATCTTGTTTATCCTTTCAAAGAACCAGCTCTTGGTTTCATTGATTTTCTGTATTGTTTTTTTTGGTCTCTATGTCATTTATTTCTGCTCTAATCTTTATTATCTCCTTCCTTCTGCTCACTCTGGGGTTTTCTTGTTGCTCTCTTTCTAATTCTTTGAGTTGTAGAGTTAGCTGATTTACTACCATTTTTTCTTGTTTTTTTGAGATAGGCCTCTAGAGCTATAAACTTCCCTCTCAGGACTGCTTTCATTGCGTCCCATAGGTTTTGGATTGTTGTGTTTTCATTGTCATTAGTTTCCAGTATGTTTTGAATTTCTTCCTTGATATCATTGGTAACCCAATCAATATTTAATAGCATGCTATTCAGCTTCCAGGTGTTTGAGTATTTTGGGTTGTTTTTATTGTAGTTTATTTCTAATATTATGCCATCGTGGTCTGCGAAGACGCTTTTTATGATTTCAATCTTCTTGAATTTGGGGATACTTTGCTTGTGACCCAATATATGGTCTATTTTTGAATATGTGTCATGAGCACTTGAGTAGAATGTATATTCTGTGGCACTGGGGTGAAGTGTTCTGAAGATGTCTATTAAGTCCATCTGATCTAGTGAGTCATTTAGGATTGCTGTATCTTTGCTGATTGTTTGTTTAGAGGACTTATCCAGTGCTGTTAGTGGTGTATTAAAGTCCCCTACTATGAATGTATTGTTGTCGATCTCTCCTTTGATTTCTTCCAGGAGTTTTTTTATGAATTTGGGTGCTCCTGCATTGGGTGCATATATGTTTACCAGGGTTATATCTTCTTGTTGTATTGATCCCTTTAGTATTATGAAGTGGCTTTCCATATCTCTTGGTATGGCCTTCACTTTGAGGTCTATTTTGTCCGATGTAAGTATTGCTACCCCAGCTTTCTTTTCCTTTCCATTTGCCTGAAAGATATTTTTCCATCCTTTCACTTTCAGTCTGTGTGAGTCCCTTCTAATGAGGTGGGTTTCTTGTAGACAGCAGATGTATGGGTCATGTTTTTTTATCCATTCAGCCACTCGATGTCTTTTGTTTGGAGCATTTAGTCCGTTTACGTTTAAAGTTATTATTGAAAGGTACTTGTTTGTAGCCATTTCTTTTTTTGTGTGGCTGTTTTCTTTCTGAGCTTTTTATTTCTTATTTTTATACCAGTCCCTTTAGCATTCCTTGCATTGCTGGCTTGGTGGTGATAAACTCCCTTAGCCTTTTTTTGTCTGTGAAGCTTCTTATTTCCCCTTCAAGTTTGAATGATAGCCTTGCTGGATAGAGTATTCTTGGATTCAGTCCTTTGCTTTGCATCACTTTGTAAATTTCTGTCCATTCTTTTCTGGCCTGATGTGTTTCTGTTGAGAAATCATTTGACAATCTAATGGGAGATCCCTTGTATGTAACTTTCCGTCTCTCTCTTGCAGCCTGTAAGATTCTCTCTTTGTCCTGAACATTTGCCATGGTAATTATGATGTGTCTTGGTGTGGGTCTTTTCGGGTTCACCTTGTTCGGAACTCTCTGGGCTTGTGTGACTTTTTTCTTCCCCACCTCAGGGAAGTTTTCTGATATTATTTCTTCTAATAGGTTTTCTAATCCTTGTTCATAATTCTGTTGTTCTGGTACCCCTATTATTCGTATGTTGTTTCGTTTCATGTTGTCCCAAAGCTCCCTTAGGCTCTCCTCCTGTCTTTTAATTTTTTTCTCCAATTGCAGTACATTTTGGGTGTGTTTTGCTTCCTTGTCTTCTAATTCACTAATTCGGTCCTCCGCTTCTCCTAGTCTACTGTTGATACTTTCAATGGAGTTTTTCATTGCAGCTATATCACTCTTCATTTCTTCTTGGGTCTTACTTAAGTTGTTGATTTTTTCATCTGTTTCTTCTAGCTTCTTCCATATGTTATCGATTTTTTCATCTGTTTCTTCTTGCTTCTTGCAGAGGTTGTTGATTTTTTCTTCCATCCGGTTTATGCACTCTAGGACCCTTATTCTGAATTCTTTTTCTGTCATGTTGCATACCTCTGTATTACTTAGCTGCTTTTCTGGAGAGTCCTTCCTCTTTTTCCTTTGGGGGTTTCTTTGTCTACCCATGTTTGATCTCACTGACATATCTAGACGTTGAGTTGTTCAGTGGTTGCTCCCTTGGTGGCAGTGACTCCTTGGTCTGTGGTTGCTCTTCGGGCAGTTGCGGTAGCAGCTGCTCTTCAGTTGGCAGCAGCTCCTCTGGTGGGTGCTGTTCACAGCTGAGGTGGCTCTTCTGGCTGGTGGGGTTAGGTTTCACATACAGCTGCTGTTCCTCAGCAGAGGGTGTGGTGCTCAGGGGGTTGTTGTAGCTTGGATCTGCTGCGTTGATTTAAAGGCACAAAATACAACACAACAAGGCACCACGTACCAGGCACTATACACAAATATATTCACGATATTAATAACCCCAAATAAAGGTGACCACCCGAATTAAGAGAATTAGGGGATAAGGAGGAAGGAAGGGAAAAAGATAAAAGAGAAAAAAGAAAAGAAAAGTAGGGACCAAAAAAAGGAGTACAAAAATGAAATTGGGAAAAAGGAGGGGGGAAAATAAAAGCGAGAAAAGAAAAGAAAAGAAAAAAAAGAGAAAAAAGAAAAAAAAAGAGCGAAAAGAGAGAATGAAGTGGAAGAGGGGAAGAGACTTTTTATATGAGGAGAATACTCCTATAGAACAGCCATTAATCCCAACAAATTCCAGCAACAGCTCCCTAGAAATGAATGCAAACTAGAAACAACCAATAATATAACGACGAAAATAGAATGGAGAACACTAATCCCAAAATAAAATAAAGAGAAAATGGCACTTTAAAAAATGGTAAAATGGTAGCAGTAATAATACTGGTTAAAAATAAGAAGGTAGTAATTAAAAGGGTAAAATCAGGTGATGGAAAAAGAAGAAAAAAAAAGAAAAGAAAAAAAGAAGAAGAAGAAGAAGAAAATTGATTTCTTAGTTAAAAGGTGAAAAAAGAAAAAAAAAATTGCAGTAGTGAAGGTCCTTCGGTTTTTCTATTCTTCAGTGTGGCTCGCCTTAGACCTGCCAGGTATTCAGGAGAGTGTTGGGTTTCCTTGCAATACACTGTTCCTCTGTGTTGTAAACCACAGTCCTTATTTTAAAGCAGGCTGCATTTGTTTCCCAGACTGCCTTATTTTGTGTTTAGCAAAGAGTCAGTTTGTGGGTCAGCCTCTGGGTGGCAGTGTTCTGGGGTTGGCCTCTGAGGCTATAGGGCCTCTCTGACCAGTGGAAGTTCACTGCCCAGAGCTGGCTGTGTAATAGTTACCGGCGCTGTGTTGTTGCTGGGATTGAAAATCCCTCTATAGGCCAGAGCCTGTTAACTCCCAGGGACTGATCAGGTTATTTTAATCCTTGATCTCCTACAGGGTGGAATCTGGGTGTGGCTGTGCTCCTTGCCTGGGGGCTGGGGGGAGGAGTCTCACTCTCTGGAGAGAATGGCTGCCCCAGTCCTGGGCTCAGGGGTGTCTCAGCACTCAATTCGCTGCCACCTCTCCTGGCCCCCCTTCTCTCCTCAGTCTCTCCCCAGATTCCACTCCTCCGCACACTCTCCCTCTCTTCAGCACAGGTGAGTGTCTGTATCCGAAATGTCCCATGAACAGGATTCAGTGAAAACAAACAAACAAACGCCGGCCGCGGAAACGGGGAAGGCTTGGTTTCTGAAAGCTTCTTCTCTTACCGGGACTGCATGGTCTGGTCAGCTCTTCAGGCTGCCCCCTTTAGGCTCAGTCCTCCGTGATCACAGAACCCAGCTCTCAATTCCCCCGGCGGCGCCAGGAATCCCGCAGTTCTCCCCGTCCCCCCCCCCACCCCCCCCCCCCCCGTCAGGGGCTGTGCCTGTCCCAAGGGACGCGGCTGTCTGCCACGCGGTCTCCCTCCACGCGGTCTCCCTCCGACTTTCTGGGCTCAGAGGTCTGGCAAACTTTCCTGCCCAAAACCCTGGTTTTTTTACCTTTCCAGGGGAGTTCTGCTCTTCCCGGCTGCAAACCGTCTCACCAGCTGAGCAATTTCGCCAATTCGGTGTGGGTACTATTAGTTTCAGCTGCTCACTCCATTTGCTCTGGGACACGTCTGCCTATATCGCCGCCATCTTCCCTTCTCCCCTTTTCTACTTTTAAATAGATCTTATCAGCACCTAAAATAGTAAATTTTTATTTGCTTATGTTTATTATATTATCTCCCATCACCACTAGAATGTAAGCTTCATGAGTGGAGATAATTTGTCTTTTTGTCATATATCCAGCATCTAGGAGAGTGCCTGACACATAGCAAGTACCTAACTGGTTTTAGATGCATGCATAACATTTCTCTCTACATGTGTATTGCCTCTCTTATTAGATTGCTCTCTTTTCATTCTATATCTAGGTAATGTGTCATCATTCACTCAAATGCCAAAAGTTAATTCTCAACCCATCTATCTCTTACAACCACCTAATAACAGGTTGATAATTCTTTTTAAAAATATGGAATGCTTCACGAATTTGCGTGTCATCCTTGCGCATGAGCCATGCTAATCCTCTCTGTATCATTCCAATTATTTTAGTATATGTGCTGCTGAAGCGAGCAAGATAAATTTTTTAAAAAAATCATTCCAGTGGCAGAGGATGAATTAAGAACAATGCTGGCCCTGACCCAGTAGCTCAGCTGATTAGAGTGTCATCCTGATACGTCATGGTTGCAAATTTGACACCCCCACCCCCAAATCAGGGAGCATACAAGAATCAACCAATGAATGCATAAATAAATGGAACAACAAGTCAATGTTTCTCCTTTCCTCCCCTTCTTCCTCTTCCCCCTTCTCTTCTTCTTCTCATGTGAAGCCAAAGGCCTAAAAAGAGTGTCAATGATGGGATTATGATGAAGGAAATGGGAAATATTCTAAAGTTCCAACTGACTGGACCCAGGACAGGGAAGCTAGCTAGAGTAGTTGACACTATTCAGAATGAAAAATGCAAGAGGAAGAATATATGTGGAGGCTGTGAGAAGAGCAGCTTGGGGAATACTAGCTTGATATATTCTCTGGCCCCAGGGCTTTACTTTCCTACTCAGCTTAGTTCTGGGGTGCATAACATTGATGGTTCTTGCCAATCATCTCACCTCTTTTCCTTTGTCTTCCTGTTGTAATTGTCCTGATAATCCCGTCACTTGAGATTATTCTTACCATCTGCTTTCTATGTATGCTGCTGGAGAATGGCTCACATTTATGGAAAATTATACTGTTACTGAGTCAGTTGGAGTGCGGGGGAGCCTCCCCATTGGCCAAGATGGTGACAGGGAGAGGTTTTTACACTGAGCGCCAAAAGCTAGAAATATGAATGGACAGGAGCCCCATGTGTGCCAAAAGCTAGCAAGATAATTGGATGGAAAAAAAGCTCTCCCCTGCCTATCCCTATAAGAATGGTGGGCTTGAGCAGGAAGAGAGGTAATCTTTGATTCAGGAGTCCACTATTCTCCCAGGTCATGGCACCTGAATAAAACCTCTTTCCTTTTGCACCAGCGTTTGGCTTTCATGGAAGGCAGCTGAACCTGTGTTTTTTTGTTCAGTTACAATACCACTATACATTTATGTTCTCTAACTTTAGTTAAACCCTCAGAAGTAAAGAACACTTCCTGCCCTGACTGGTTTGGCTCAGTGGATAGAGAGTCAGCCTGCAGACTGAAGGGTCCCAGGTTTGATTCCGGTCAAGGGCATGTGCCTTGGTTGCGGGCACATCCCGGGTAGGGGGTGTGCAGGGGGCAGCTGATTGATGTTTCTCACTTATCGATGTTTCTAACTCTCTATTCCTCTCCCTTCCTCTCTGTAGAAAATCAATAAAATATATTTTTAAAAAGTTAAAAAAAAAAGAACAACACTTCCTAGGTTCCTAGGATATGTTTGTCCCTTTTTCTAATTTCCACAGTCACCATTTTGGACACTCACCATTTCCTTCAAGCCCCTAATGCAGCCCTTCCAGTACCTCCCTCTTTGTTTCTCAAAGGCACCAACTGCCTGAACTGTTTGTCTTCTTACCCACTTACTTACCATCTCCGTACTTGTAGTTCCTTCCTTCTTTTCCTTGCTTTGCAGACAGATGTGTTCCTCTTCTCATCATGCTCTCTTTCTTTTATCTCTTCAGAGACTTTGATTTTTCTTTTATATACTCAACCTCCATTTCTCCATTAGTTCTTCCTCCACAGCACTTAGATGCACTCATTTCTCCTAGCTTGTAAAAACTCTCTTTTATTCTCCTTTATAATTTCCATACCCCACCTTTTCCTCTACAGCCAAGGAAGCTTCAGTGTGTGCTTGGCTCCTTTTCTTCACCTCCCATTCACCCCCAATTCACCAGGAACTGCATTTTGACTCCGTAACTTTATTTAAATTGCTCTATGACCTACTAATTGCTCAATTTAATGATCACTTATTATCTGTCTTATCTCACATGATCTCTTTCTGGCATTTTATGCTGTTGCCAATTTTCACCTTTCTCCAAGCTTTACTCACTTGATGAGCATGAAAATAGCCTCAAATCTCTCCCTTTATTCATTCTTAGAATCACGTACTAGGTTTTCTTTTTCTAGTGAAAGAATCATTACCTTTCTGGAAAAAATTAACTTTTAATTACTTCAATACAAATAACTAAAGAGTAAATTTCTGGCTTCTCTTAGTTGTTGGGAGAAATCATAGGGTTCACAGAAACAATATATCTCAGATCAAGAATCAATAAAATTGAAGTAGTATGTATTTAGTATGCTCCTATCTTTGCTTAATGCTATATTTAAGAAGTAATAACTCTTCTCGGAGAGCACACAGGAAAACAGACAAAGTACATACAAATACATTAAAGGAAATATGAGTATACAAAATGTAGATACCTATCCAGGGAATCTACACCAAGAAAACAAAGAGATAATAGTAACCATTACTTTAATATTGAAAACCACTGTGCAGAGAGAAGGTAGAAGAATGCTATTTACCATCTCCTCTCCATAATTATTATTTTTATTTTTACTCTCATATCTAGGTTGGTACATAGTAGAGAGAAAGGTCTGTGTTGTCTGTCCTCTATAAAGTCATATGTGGTATAGAAAATTATTGATAATGTCTTTGGGATAAATTTGGGCTAATATAAATCAATTATGAGAGAATATTTCACCCATTTTGTAAATTTAGAAGCTCTTGGTACATTACAAACTACACAAATATTTTGGTAAATATAAATTTAGAGATTCAAGTGACATGTTTTACTAAGCTAAATTATTTTTTACAGTACATTTTGAAGTTCCACTAGTTACTCATATGGAATAAACTCAATTTGTCATTTACCCCCATTTGCAGTAGGGGATATGAAATTAAACACCAAAACTGAACCATTATCCAGAAAGATAGCAAAGGACCTTGTAAACTGAAAAATACAGACTATTTTCCTTGAAGCAGTAATAAGATGTTCTTTGATACATATCCATGGAGTGCTGAAACAATTCATCATGCGCTTAAATTCATTGGTAATCTTGTGTCTTGCCTTCCAACAGCCCTTTATCTCCTCAGTATAAAAGCATACTTGATTAAGAATACATTAAACTAAAAATGTAGGGCTGGGCCGGCGGCGGGGGCTGGGCCGGCGGCGGCGGCGGTACGAGGCGCGCGCTCGGGGTCCCGGTCGCGAGGAGGAGGAGGATGTGGCGCGCGGAGGGGAAATGGCTGCCGAAAACAAGCCGGAAGAGCGTTTCCCAAAGTGTATTCTGCGGAACTAGCACCTACTGTGTTCTCAACACCGTGCCACCTCTAGAAGATGATCATGGGAACAGCAATAGTAGTCATGTAAAAATCTTTTTACCGAAAAAGCTGCTTGAATGTCTGCCGAAATGTTCAAGTTTACCCAAAGAGAGGCACCGTTGGAACACTAATGAGAGATCATGATGCAGCCGTCCTTTTGGATTTCTTTTTAATAATGTGTGACCCTTCACCTTTGATCCCCTGACCTGCATTACCTTGGTCTTAAAATTTTGGTGGCAGAGAGCAAATGTGCAAAGAGTAATGGAAAACCAGTCAGAAGCTGCTGATCCGCAGAGATGATCGCATTTTATGAAAAAATGCTCTCACCACACACTTGTTCATGGGCGCAAGAGGAGGGTCCACAGAGCTGGAGCCGGGAGGGCTGGCAGTGGAGAGAAGCTGGCGGCCTCGTAGGGGGAGCTCTGCCATCCTGCCAGCTCATATGGCCCCAAGACGATTCTATTAGGGAATTAATTGTACTCAAAACCCGAAATTAATTTGAACTGAATGTTACGAAGAATGAATAGATTGAAGTGACCCGCTCTGGCTTCATCCAGAGTTACTGTGACTGAGATCCCACGGCCTGGTCTGGCTTGGGAGAGCAGGTCTCTGTCCACGTGCCACTCCCAGTCCCTTCGGGCGGCAAGCTTCTCATCTCCTAAGAGTGCTCACCACCCGAGAGATGACATATTTACATGCTGGTTACACCTGTCCCTACGAGAATGGAAGCTCCACGGAGCAGGGCCTCTGTCTTGTCACCCTTGTATCCAGCAGTGCGATGGTGCCTGGACGGCATAGAGTCCGAGCAATGCTGTGGAATGAATGGATGGATGGAGGCTCAGCCAGCAGTGCGTCTGAATGTTTTTCTTTCCATTTGCCTTTTACAGATGACTTGAAAAAATGACAAGGCAGTGAGATTTTGGGTAAATGTGAACATTTGGTTGAGATTAAAATGACTGGCGGCCTTGTACAGGGTACCTGGGAGCTGCCAGGCACAGCAGGACTCTGGGCCTGTGAGTTGCAGGTGGACTCTGTGTGACGGCATCCCTGCCCTTGGTGAGGAGGGAGAAATGGAGAAGAACATGAGTCATGTCTCTGGATGACTTTACTATCAAGCCATCTAGTCTGTAAAGAAACATCGAGAAATAAAGACAAGGAGGTAGGAGATAGACAAGCGTTTATTTCTTAACATTTAACCACTTAAAATAATAAATTTGGAATCAATTATAAAACAACTCCAAATATATCCTAGATCAAAGTGGGCATTGACAGGTGTAGGTCGGAGGCAGTTATTTAGATAATACTAACTTAAGACCTTTGTTCAGATCACCTGCAAGACGTCGTAGTCCATCTTTAGGCTCTGGGTGGGAATAGGCCAGATGCCAATACTGTTCTTGAAAACATTTGAGGAAGGTTTTTTTTTTTTTTAAATACAAAGAGCAAAACCAAAACCAAGGAGGCAGCATCCTGTGATGCAGGCTGTTACCTCAAGGTGAGTTTATTTGTGGTGCGAACTTGTGATGAATTGTGTAAACATTTTTTCAGGTGTGGCATATATGATTTGTCAGATTTTGTCCATTTCAGTTATTTATTGCACACTGAAGGAATTAACTCAAACCAGAGAAAACAATGGCCCAGCTGCTCTTGAATTTTCTTTCCCAGAGAGAAGAAATATTTCTGATGAACTCAGTGATATGTTTCAGTTCCTTGTAAATAAAGTGTGAAAAGCAAAAGCCAGATTTTTATGCACCACGAAGCAAAACAAACGCAAAAAATCTTTCGGGGCATAATGCATTTTTCATTAAACTTATTGCTGAACTGTTGTGATCATGTGCTCTTACCCGCCATGAAAGTATCAGAAGTGTGAATTCTGGGGTGAAGAACTAATTGCAGAAGGTGGTTAATGAGGCAGAACCCACAAATCTGCATTTACAGTTTTGTGGGCAAATAAATCATCGGTGGAGGATAAAAAAAATAAATAAAAAAAAATAAAAAAAAATAAAAAAATAAAAATAAAAATGTAAATAAAATTCAAGTAAATAATACTAATATGCTGGGCAGACATAAGCTGTGGGCACTTTGAGAGAAGGTAGACATAGACTAAATATGAATGTTCAGATAATCTGATTGGAAAGTAGTTGTTACTGTAATTAAGGGAGGACAACAGACAGTGATAATTCACAAATAGTTTCTGTAGACCTTAATTTTAGGTACAAATATATTTTCTCATTATCTTGAAGAAAAGATAAAATAACACACTATCAATTCATATGAAGAATATGCAAAGGTTTAAATTGTTTTCAAAAATTATGGAACTTTAAAGCAATGGTGAAGTCAATGATAAGAAGGAATTATCTATGAAAGAAATAGATAATCAAACTATAGGATCAGTTTAATAGTCTAATTAGTATGAGATAGTATTCCAGAAGAAGAGAAAGAATGCATATACAGGAAAACTTTGGTTAAGAGGCTACATTTAGAGAGGCTGGATGAAAAAGTTGAAGGGATTAAGCAGTATAAATTAGTAATTACAGCATAGTCACAGAGATGTAGATTATAGCATAAGGAATAAAGTCAATAATCCTATATAATAAAACCTTAATATGCAAATTGACCAAACGATGGAATGACTGGTGGAAGGACAGATTGCTATGATGCGCACTGACCACCAAGGGGCAGACACTCAACACAGGAGCTGCCCCCTGGTGGTCAGTGTGCTCCCACAGGGGGAGCGCTGCTCAGCCAGAAGCTGGGCTCATGGCTGGCGAGCGCAGCAGTGGTGGCGGGAGCCCTTCCCACCTCCGCAGCATGTTAAGGAGCAGCGAGCCAAGTGGTAAGGAGCAGCGAGCAGTAAGGAGCAAAGGGTCCTGGACTGTGAGAGGGCGCAGGCTGGGCTGAGGGACAGCCCCCCATGCACGAATTTTGTGCACCAGGCCTCTAGTATCATCATAAATACATATGGGGCCAGTTGGGAACTTGAAGCAGCAGGGGAACCACTCTGTAAAGTATATGATTTTCTAACCACATTTTTGTACATCTGAAACTAATATAGAATAATATTAAATGTAAATTATAATTGAAAAAAATTTTTAAAAGTAAAAAAAAAGAGAGTACATTTATACCAGAATTTTGAACATAGTGACTAACAGATCTTTCATTTAAACATTAAGATATATAAAAGAAAGTTATAAAGGAAGGAATTAGTTCAATAATCCATGGTGGCATTTCATAAGAATTTGGAGATAACATAAATCTCAGGGCTACGTTACATTCAATGACTCTGGTAAATAAAATGATCTAAAAATTTTTAATGCCATATTTCAAATGATTTTTTTAATTAATGTCATGATAAAGGAAGAAGGAATATTTTAAATCACAGCTTTCCAACTTTATCTACATATATAAAAGGCTAAGTGACTGACCGTATGTCCATCTGACTGTCCGACCAACTGACCAACCGGTACATATGACGTGCACTGGCAATTTGAAAATAAATGTTGACATATAAAGCTCTCACTGGCCCCAATCGCATGCGTGTTTTAATTTTATAATACTAAATTATATATACTATTTTGACATATAATTTTTTGCAGTAATGTAATTACTGCATGAATCTTTCTTCTAATTAATTTCCTTTCAATGTGCACGAATCCGTGCACTGGGCCACTAATAGTTTATAAAAATTGAATCTCTCTCTCTCTTATTCTGATTTGTCTCCTATAAAGTAGATAAAGTGTTTTTCCAAACCCCACTTAAAAATGAGTCTTAAGTATATCATATGTGTATTCATATTGAATTTCTTGACTTTTACTTTCTGTAGTTTGTAGTACTAATAACCATTTTTGTCTGTTTTCTAAATGCTAAATCTAGCAATAAGGCCTTTCCCAAACCTCATTCTGAGACACATTAAGAAGCACTGATTTAAAGTGATGTCCAAACATAGCACTAGGTGAGAACTAAATAGAAATGTTTACTGAATTGAATTGTTGAACTCAACTGAATTCAATCACAGATCATCAAATGCAAAATAAACTCATTATTTTGGCTTAAATGAACTTAAAAATTTGTTAAAGAATATATAAGAACTTATTGTATTATAGAAGAATCGAGTAACTATACAGTGTAAAATTATTATATTTATTTTAATGTTACAAAACCATAACTGATTAAACAAAATCTACTCAAGGGAAATGTTGATTATCATTTTAATGTAACAGAGTAAAAAAAGTTTATTTTAAAGCTTTAGATTCCACATTGCCAACCTTTAAGAAATTATAATTATCTGACAAGGCAAAATATTTATTTTATGTTTTTACAGAATATCAGCATTTTTATTTGTAGAAAAAATAAACACATTTCTGTCTCCATCAAGGTATCACAAGAAATTAGGTAATAAAAGCAAAAATGCAAATCCTAAAGTCATTTAGTGCTTTTCTTCTAATTCCAAATAGAAAACAACAATGAAAAAATGTTCTCAGATTTTTAAATCTCTCTAAATAATACCAAGGGGCAAGAAAGCTATAGATTTCTCTCATCTCATTTTTAAGTTTAATATTCTAAAAAAGTATTTCCTCCAGGGAAAACTGAACTGATCAATTACAGAATTTAGTAACACAATTCCACTTTACCTAGTCTTTTTTTTTTCTTTCACTTTACCTAGTCTTAAATTCATCCTTGAGAGACAGTATTGCTCTTGTTTATATAGTACGGTAGTAGCTAGTCTAGTATTTTAAAAACATTACCGTCTTTTATATTAGAGTGCCTACCCTATTAATCTCTGAATAGTCTGAAATAGCATATTAATCATAAACAATATATTTTAGTAGATAAATACTATATGGAGACTAATAAAAAATTATCTTTAAAAATAAAATATTTAGCTTTTTGTACATCAAATTAGAACCTGAAAGGTCAAGAATGTACATAGTTTCAAATACACAAACTATGCACTAAAGTAATAAATATAAAATGTCTTTTAATTCAAAGCTCTGTGGGTGCTGCTATCAGCGGGAAGTGTGCTGGTGACGAGGTCTCCACACTGAAGGTTGTTCCTGCCTGTTTCTAGTAGGCTGTTAGTTTTTACCTGCATTTTCTTTACAACTGGCATCACACTGTGGCACAGATTAGTGGAGGACAATGGTGAATTGCTCCCAAATTCTGTCTTAGCCTTGTACAGCAATACTCAAGTTTGCAGCCAAAACACTTCCAGGGCCTGATTCTGGAGCGGGCATCTCCTGCACATCCTCAAGCTCTCCCCAACATCCCAGGACTCTGATGACATCAAGTTTACACATTGGACATGTGTGATGATCCAAAAGTCATGGGTCA